AGTCCCGCGAGAGGGCGCGACTTCGGAATATACTGTGGGGAAATATGAAGCGGGAACAGTTGTTGAAGTTCACGGACCTTCAACGCAGTTTGCTGACCCCACACTTCCCCTTGTAAACAACCAAGTGCGAATCTCGGGAAGAGCACGTTAATCGAAACATCGAACTGTTACCGGACGGGGGGATCAACAATAACTGTTCTTTCGACATGGAAACTCAACAACAACAACAACAACAACAACAACAACAACAACAACAACAACAACAACAACAACAACAACAACAACGACAACAGCAACAGCAACAGCAACAGCAACAGCGACACCATCAACAACACCAACGAAACGACCCACCGCACGGCCACGACGTTGAGTCCAAATCTGAAACGCGACGACGACGACCGGACGAACGAAGCCGACGACGACGAGGAATCCCGAGTCCGACGACGAACCAATCCGACTACGACGACAAATCCGAAAGCAACGCCTTGGAAAGAGCTGCAAATCCGACGGCGGTGAACGAACAAACGAACGAACGAACCCTACGACGACGACGAATCGCAAGTCCGACGACGAACCAATCCGACGACGACGACTCCGAAAGCGACGCTTTGGAAAGGGCTCCAAATCCGACTGGGGTGAAAGAACAGAGGTACGAACGAACACGATGACGACGACGAATCGCAAGTCCGACGACGAACCAATTCCGAAAGCAACGCTTTGTTCAAATCCGACGGCGACTAACGAACAGACGAGCGAACGAACCCGACGACGACGAATCCCAAACCGACGACGAACCAATCCGACCACGACGACGAATCTGGAATTAGGTCGGTCGTGTCCTCCTGAGGCAGGATTTTCGACGAAACACAAACAATCCGACCGCCGATCCAGCGTGGGAGTTTCTGAGAGCGTGGACTTGAGCACGCTCAAGCTTCGCTCTGCAAGGGGGGGAGGTGAGGGGGGACGCCATTCCCGACGCATTTAGTGCTTGGGGGCGGGGGGGCCCACACCATTCAGGAGAGGGGTGGGGGGGGACGCCATTCCAGCCGCCATTCCGGGCGCATTTAATGCTCGGGGGCGGGGGGTCCACACCATTACGGGGAGGGGCGCCATTCCTGACGCCATTCGCGACGCATTTAGTGCTCGTGGGCGGAGGGGGGCCCACGCTCTGACCATGGAGGGGGGGAGGGGGGCCGACGCCATTCCAAACTCCACTCCCGACGCATGTCGTGCTCGCAAGACGCCATTCCAAGCGCCATTCCCGACGCCATTCCAAACGCCCTAATAGATATCCAAGCACCTGCGGAGAGAGACCCACGAGGTCCAAATCGTCCAATTCCGATGAAAAAAAAACGTGCATTTTTACGTTACACGACATTTCGGCCTTCACGACGTTGCCGACGGTCCCAAGAGGTCCCCGAGACTGCGTCAAGCCGGCTCAAGAGGCTCCCGATGCAACCCAAAAACGGCCCAAGAGTGCGCCAAGACGGCCCAAGAAGCGCCCAAGCCGGTCCAAGAGGGCTCCAAGACGGCCCAAAGAGAGGCCCATGAGGGGGAGCCCGAACCGAAAATCCCAGCCTTTCCCCTCACGAGGTTCTCAAGAGGCTCCAAGAAGCCTCCAAAAAGACCCCAAAGGGGCCCCCAAGAAGCCCCCCGGAGGCCCCAGACGGCCCCCAAGAGGCCCGAAAGATGCCCCAAAACGACCCCCAAGAGGCTTCCCCAGGTCCCTTGCTCAATCCCCTGAGCCTCAGTCCTCAAGCGAATGTTCCCGCATGAGTTGTTCGAGCCCAAGAGAGGCCCAAGACGGGCCAGCAGGGCCCCAAGAGGCCCTCAAGACGGCCCAAGAAAGCCCCGAATCACCGAACGATCGGTCCAAGACGCCCAAGATGGCCCCAAGACGGCCCGAGAAGCTTTAGGGACGCCCCAAGAGCCCCACGAGCCATCCCAAGAGGGCCCCGAGAGGCAAAATTCGTTTCCTCTGAATTGCTTACTGCGTGTGTGTGTGTGTGTGTGTGTGTGTGTGTCTGTGCGTGGCCAACGTCACCACCGCGACAATTCGTCATCAACATCCCCACCACCATCACCATTGTCAACGTCGTCAACATCATCCTCATAATCATCATAAATATCATCAATATCATCATCATCATCATCATCATCATCATCAACAACAACAACAACATCACCATCGCTGGCCTCACCAACTGCACCACCCTTAACACCCTTAGAATTCACATCATCAACATCATCAGCACCGTCATCAGTATCATAATCATCTTGAGGCACACCGCTATCATCATCATCATCAGCAGCAGCAGCATCATCATCATCATCATCATCATCATCACAACCACTATCACCGTCACTAGCATCGCAATCCTGATTCTCGTCGTCGTCACCATCTTCATGCTCTACACCATCGCCAATACCATGATAAACATTAGCACAATCATCATCATCAACATCATCATCACCATCATCACCATCATCACCATCATCATCATCATCATCATCATCATCATCATCATCATTATCATCATCATCGTCATCATCGCCATCATCATCATCATCATCATCATCAGCATCATCATCATCATCATCATCATCATCATCATCATCATCATCATTATCCAGAGCGCCCCGGATCGGCGGCACTGGCCGGAGGCCAGCACAGCCAACAGATTTTCAAGAAATGCCAAAACATACGCAAAACATCGCCCCCGACTCCTGTTCTACTCTTCTGGAATCTTCCTCGTGTAGGGGACGCGTCCGACCTGCACCTGGAGGCGACGCGTTTGGAAGATCTCCAGATCCGATGGCAGCGGCGGCGACGGACGTCGCCGGGCCGCGCCTCGGCCCCGCCAAGGAGGAGCCCCCGCCGCGGTGCGCCCGCGCGCGCCCGAGGCCCGTCGCGCCGGCACTGGGCAGAAAAGCATGCTGCAGGCGCCTCGACGACGAGGAAGCTGCTGACGACGGCGAAGGTGATGTCGAATGAAGAGGAGAGGAGAGAGGAGGAAGGAGAGGAGAGGAGGAGGAGAGGAGAGAGGAGAGGAGGGGGAAGGAGGAGAGGGGGGAGAAGGAGAGGAGGAGGAGAAGGAGGAGGTGGGGCGCGGCGCTGCGAATTTAAGACGGGAGCCCAACACACAGGAGGGTTCGGAACAAAATGCTGCACGCGCCTCGATCACGGTCGGACCTGGGACAGAAGAACGTCCTTCAAGAGCATGCGACCCTCCGCCGGCCAAAGTGAAGAGCGTTCGAGGGTACCCTCCCCCCAAGTGTCGGGCGTTGGCAGAACTGGGTTTGGTGGAACCTGGTTTAGTGATGTGTACTGGGGAGGCTCCCCCGCCCCGTTCCACTGTCCGGAACTGCCGTCACCCGAAAAGCACCAGCTACGGCAGACCTGATTTAGTGATTCTGGCGAATTCAAAGGGCCTGGGGCCCTACCGCTAACCGGGTCCCCTAACCTGGGGTCCTGGCCATACCCCCAAGTGGCACAAAAACATCCAACGAGTACGAAGAACATGAGGGTGCCGTGCCCTCCCCGAGCCGACCTCGGTCTTGTACCTCGGTCCGACCCAAGCGGAGCCAGGACAGGGACAGGATCAGACAAGGCGAGGCGAGGCGAGGCGCCGGTCGGCGTCCCAGTGGGGTGCTGCCCTCCGAGCCCTGCGGGCACGCCAGAGCCCGAGGCTCACGCGATTCCGCTCCGCTGGAGTGGAGGAGGCAAAGCATGCGTTCCAGAAGAGGTCCTTGATGGTCCTGCCATTGTAAGTTATGTGACAGTTCCCGCCGTTGTGCGTTGTTTGCCGGCAACAACCATAAAACAACTATCCATGAGATCCTGCGGTTCTGGAAGATATATCGGGCACCGCGGTCTGCTCAGAGCGTTGCAGAATGCTCTGAGAGCGTTCGGGAACGCTCTGGAACGAATTATCCGTGTCCTAGCCCCGCCCGACCGACGTCCCCGCCTGGTGCAACAAAACCGCGGCGGAAGGTCTGGGGCTACGTTCGGCCCCTCAGCGCCGCGGAAAGTCTTCGGCCAAATGATGGCCAAATCGGGCAGGGAGCCTCGCATGCCTCAGCACTGCGCGCTGGGGGGGGGGGTCCCGGGAGTCGTCCTTACTGAGACGGGCCCTGACCTTTTATGAGCCGCCGCGCCACTTTGCCAGAAGCCCCCTTACAGGGGGGCCCCTCTAAGCTCCCTGCATTCTTGGATAACCGCCCCTCTCGACCGCCCCCCTCTGTCTCGCCGCAGTCTGTCCTAGAGAGAGGGGCCTGCTCGGTGTCAGAATTCCTAGCCGCCGCCCATCGAGCGCCGCCCTTGGCGTCTTGCATGCATGGTGTGTAGACTACACAACAATATGCTCCCCAAAACTCCTTTCGGGGACTGGCCTTTCTCATCTCCAGCCGTTCTGTTGACGGCCCAGGGGATCGGAGAGGGCCCCCGTAGGCCGAGAAACACAAAAACAACACGGCCGCCATAATTTTTCCACCACGAGAGGTGGTCACGGGGTCTGCACACACCGTCCTGGGGGCCCAGGATGGCCCTGACCAGGTATCGGAGGTGTACTGGGTGCAATCGGCGGATCGTCTTCTGCCCTTGTCGGGGTCCACCACTTCTCATAAGGTCCCGCCCGCGAAATCTAAGACGAAACCAGGACAGGAAAAACATCGGATAGGGAAAAATCTGAGATCTCTGAGGTCCGGCGGTTCTGGATAAAGTGTCGGGCGCCGCGGCCTTCTCAGAGCGTTCCAGAACGCTCTGAAACGCTCTGGAAAGACTGATCCTTGTCCTAGCCCTGCCAAAACAAGTGCCCTGGGTACCCGAGCCAACCGTCGCCGACCCCCAGACAAACCGAACATCTGGCACCTTCAACACACTGAAGGGGCTGGTTTGCCGCCGCTTCCGGCCCTCGTGAGCCGGCTGCGGGCCTCGGGGCCGTCGGAAAGGACTGGGAATCCGCCGGCCCACGCTTGCCGTGGGTGAATCGGCGTGAGAATGAGAAAGGTCAGCGGCTGCCTGACCGAGACCACCAAACATTAGCTCCAGGAGCTTGCCCAGGTGACATAAGATCCCGTAGGCACCGAAATCGGCAGAGTGATCAGCACGCTCGTTCAGACATTGCCCAGTACGGCTTTCAACCTTCCTGAAGACAATATGACAAGCAACCTGATCACAGAGATGGCGAAGCCGCAGAGCAAGCTCAAGGTTCGCCCGCCCTCGGACGTGCCGCTGCGCCACGCCAGCCGCATACTCCGAGTCACATTCGATGACGAACGATGGTGAGGGAGGTGACGATGACAAATGTTCAACCATCCAAGAAGACACTGCAATACATAACGCTGAGAATTCGCCATCGTTGTCTGTACGACGGTGAGCTTCAATGTATCCCGACTGCTCGGGATCCAAAACGGAGGGGCCGCAGCAATCCAACAGATCTGTCGAAGCTGGCATGGCCACGGTGAAGGCCCAGTCAGATGTCGTCTCCTCAGCGGACTGCCGTTGGGAGCCGTCGTCGCAGGAGAGCGTGATGAGCTGTGCGAAACGGCGTGTGAGACATTTGGCTGTCCTCCTCTCCCTTTGCCCCCTTCCCTGGGGTCCAAAATGCTGTTTGAGAGAGGGGGGGACGAGATCCTAAACGCATCTTCGGGGCCTCAGGAGCCTCTCCAGAATCCCAAGACGGCGCATGAGGTCCCAAACAGAGCGCCCAAACAACGCCACAACAATACAAGAAAGCGTCAAGATCGTTCGGGGTAGCCCCACGAAGACCCTGAATGACTTGAAGAGAGCTCACGAGGCGCCCAAGATAACCGAAGATCACCCCCAGCGAACCGCCGCCGAGGGCCCCCAGAAACAACAATCGTCCTATTCCCATCGGGGAAAATACGCAGCCCCCCGCAGATGTGGATAAGAGTTAGGGGGCGGGGAGGACGTCAACAGTCTGCGACACTCTGGCGAAGTCCGCCGCAGGCGCCAACGTTTCACAAATTATACCACGAGCCCGCCGCAGGCGCAGATTTTTTCTTCAAATCAATGTCGATCGGTCGCGGGTGGGTCGCGGGTGGGTCGCTGGTGGGTCGCGGGGTGGGTAGCAGGTGGGTCGCAGGTGGGTCGCGAGTGGGTCGCTGGTGGGTCGCGGATGGATCGCGGGGTGGGTCGCGGGTGGGTCGCGGGGTGGGTCGCGGGTGGATCGCGGGTGCGTCACGGGTGGGTCGCGGGGTGGGTCGCGGGTGGGTCGCGGGTTGGGTCGCGGGTGGGTCGCAGGGTGGATCTCGGGGTGGGTCGCGGGGTGGGTCGCGGGGTGGGTCGCGGGGGGGACGACGACAGCAAACAACAACAACAATTATCCCAGTGCGACCCTACCTAGGAGTTGGAGCATTTAGGAAAGCAACATCTACATCTACACCGACAGCTACATTTACATCTACACCTGCATCTACATCTACATCAACATCCACAGCGAGGCTCACACCTACATCTACATCTACACCTACATCTACACCTACATATATCTACATCTACACCTACATCCACATCTACACCTACACCTACATCTACATCTACAATTTCGCATTGGTTTTGCGTTTGCTTTGCATTGCCTTTGCTGTTGCTCTTGCCTTTGCTTTTGCCTTTGCCTTTGATGTTGTGGTTGCTATGATATGCTATGCTGTGCTATGCTGCGCTATGCTGCGCTATGCTATGTTATGCTATGCTATGCTGTGTTATGCTGCGCTATGCTATGCTATTCTGGGCTATGCTATGATATGCTAAGATAAGCTACAGCTAAGCGAAACTAAGCTGAAGCTAAGCTAAGCTAACATGACATAAGCTAAGCTAAGATGAGAGAAGCAACGCTGAACTAAGTGGACGCAATCGGGAAACCGCGGGGCGGATACTGGGGGAACCGCCCGGGGCGGGTAGCACTGCCCGGCCCTTTAAGCACAGAGGGTACGAACCCTTCTAGGCAGAGCCTCGGTAGAGAACAACAACAACAACAACAACAACAACAACAACAACAACAACAACAGCAACAACAACAGCAACAACAACAACAACAACAGTAGCAGCAGCAGCAATAACAAACCAACAACAACAATAGCAACAGCAACAGCAACAGCAACAGCAACAGCAACAACAACAATAATGACAGGGACCTTCCCTGGACCCCAGCGCTCGGGGCTCCTCCACAGCTCTCCTCCGGGGGGGCAGGTGTCGTCCCCGGGCCCCGGGGTCCCCCCCAACAACAACAACACCAACAACATCGACAACAACAACAACAACAACAACAACAACATCAACAACAGCAGCAGCAACAACAACAACAATAGCAGCAATCATTTTAAGACTGTTCGCCCTTATCTGATCGAATGTCCAATAACGCGTATTTCCCAAACCCTCGATACCCGCCCTCTTCGTCATCGATAGAACCCCTTTTTGGGGGTATACCTTTCTTCCCTGCAGGCCGGGCCCCGGCAAGCGGCGGGGCGGCCGCGGACCGTCGGCCTGGGCAGCGGCAACGCTGATCGGCGGGGCGGCCGCGGACCGTCGACCCGATCCCAAGAGGGACGGACAGGGGACCGACCGACGACGACGGCGACGACGACGACGACGACGGCAGCGACGACGAACGAAAGCGAGAGCGAGAGAGAACGACAGCAGGGCCACAAAGGACCCGAAGTAGGCCACGAAGGGCGACAGCGGGAACACAAACGGAATGCGTATGGGGCCACGAAGAGCGCGAACGATCCGGGGGCCACGAAGGGCAGAGAATGCGGGCCACAGATGGCAACGATGGGGTCAGTGAGGGTAGCAACTGGGCCACGTAGGACACTGAGGGGGCCACAAACGGCGAGAGCGGGGCCACGAAGGGCATGCACATGGGGCCACAACGGGCGCGAACAAGCAGGGGCCACGAAGGGCATACATATGTTGGGCCGCGGAGGGCAAGGACGGGCAGCGAAGGGCAGCGAGGGGGCCACGAAGGGCGACAGCGGGGCCACGAAGGGCATGCATATGGGGCCACGAAGGGCAGCGAGGGGGCCACGAAGGGCTGCAACGAGGCCACGAAGGGCAGCGAGGAGGCCACGAGGGGCTGCAACGGGGCCACGAAACAAAGCGAGGGGGCCACGAAGGGCTGCAACGGGGCCGCGAAACAAAACGACGGGGCCACGAAGGGCTGCAACGGGGCCACGGAAGGCAGCGAGATCCCGATTCCTAGGTAACCTGTGATGGAGTCCTAAGCGTGAGCGCGACTCCTGGGTGCCCGGGTGTCGGGAGAACGGCGCTTGAGTAGATTGCAAGAAATCCCAACACAAGGGCATTATTCGTTAGCGATTTGCAAGCAAGTCTCCAACGAGAGCGCGACTCCAGAGCGCTGGGATAATATTTCCTCTATAGATTGTACGGAAGTCCCCAGCGAGAGCGCGATTCATGAATAAAATGCGAGGAAGTCTCGGGCGGGAGCGGGGGTCCTGGCTAAATTGTGACGAAGTCTCAGGCGGGAGCCGTTGTTGTTGTAGTCCAGGGGGCAAGGACCCACTTTGAGCAGGAAGACTTTTCTTGACAAAAAACAAGGTGCGAGCCCGGGAAGGGCACTTTAATTGAAAAAATCAATGTGCACCGGTGGGGGGATCAACAATAATTATTCTTCAAGAATAAGAGTTCAACAACACCACCACCAACAACAACAACACCAACAACAATCATGTTACCCTCATGCGCGATGTTTCCACACGAAGCATGCGACCATCATAATATCCACCCACAGCATGGGGGACTCTTGTTCTATAGCGGGGTCCGTCGTTCCTATTCCCAGATCTCCCGCCCAATGAGGTCTTGCAAACACCTCCTCCGAGGAATTCCAACATATCCTGCCTCGAAAACACATGCCCGCGCCTTGCTGCGACGATGCGAGACCGCCAGTGGAACCCCAGCGAAGGGTAAAGCACAAGGAAGTATCGAACGACAGGATTACCTTGGTGGGGATGGGGGCTGTCGGCGGTGAGGCAAGGACGCGGCCCTGAATAGAAAGAAGGGCAGTCTCGAGCAGGGCTGTTGCTATTGCTGGGAGCGGCGCCAATGCTGAAGAGAGTAGGGCGCTAGTCCAGCGTAAAACGAAACGAAGTCTCGAGCGGGAACGATGGTTTTGTTGGGACGGCGGCTTTCGGCGGCGAGGAAAAACACCGCCTTGAGCAAGGAGGAGGCATCGAGCGGGAACCGTGGTTTTGACAGAAGGGGGGCTGTCGGTGGCGAGGAACAGCACCGCCCCGAGGAAAAAAAGGAAATCTCGAGCGGGAGCGTTATTCTTGCTGGGAGCGGCGCCAACTCAAAAAAAAATAGGGCGCCAGTCCAGCGTAAACCGGAAGGAAGTCTCCGGCGGGAACGCTGGTTTTGTCGGGGCGGCGGTTTTCGGCGGCGAGGAGGAACACCGCCTTGAGCAAAATGGGAGGATGCATCGAGCGGGAGCCGTGGTTGTGTCGGGACGGGGGTTGTCGGCGGCGAGGAACAGCACCGTCTTCAGGAAAAAGCAAGGACATCGTGAGCGGGAGCGTTGTTCTTGCTGGGAGCGGCGCCAATTCAAAAGAGAGTTGGGCGCCAGTCCAGCGTAAACCGGAAGGAAGTCTTAGGCGGGAGCGCTGGTTTTGTCGGGACGGCGGCTTTCGGCGGCGAGGAGGAGCACCACCTTGCGTAAAAACAGGAGGAAGCCTAGAGCGGGAGCGTTGTTTTTGCTGGGGGCGGCGCCGATGAGAGAAAGACTAACGCGCCAGTCCAAGGTAAAGCGGGAGGAGGTCTCGAGCGGGAACGCTGGTTTCGTTAGGACGGCGGCTTTCGGCGGCGAGCAAGAACACCAGCCCTGAGCAAACAAGGAGGATGTCTCGAGCGGGAGCGTTGTTGTTTGGGGGCCGGTTTTGGCGGTCCCCCAAACCGCTCGAGCGTGAGCCTCATTTTCAATGAAAACGTAGCCAGCGCCTCGGCGAGAGCGCCAGGGCGCCTGTAAGAGGTCCAACAATAAACAATTGTGTAGTAGTTAACACTCAACAGCGACAACAACAACGCCGGGAATGAATAACAAACCTGAGGCGTCCCTCAGGACTCCGGTGCTGAATCGGATGGTGACTTACGTGTGCGCGCTAGAGAAGCGAGGCACTCTATACGCCCTTTATGACTCCTCACGAAGCCCTGTAGAGATCCTACATAAACCCTATGGGGATCCAACAGAAAACCCTATAGGGATCCGGCAGAAACCCTAAAAGGATCCGACCGAAATGCTATCAGGATCCCCCAGAAGCCCTGTAAGGATCCTACAGAACCTGTTAGGGATCCTACAAAAACCAGGTAGGGATCCTACAAAAACCCGATCGGGATCCTACAGAAACCCGACAGGGATCCGACAGAAGCCCGATAGGGATCCTGCAGAAACGCTGTGTATAAGGATCCTACAGCAACCCTAATATATGGATCCCACAGAAACCCGATAGGGATCCCAGAGAAACCCTATAGGGATCCTGCAGAGACCCTGTAGAGATTCCTGCAGAAGCCCGATATGGATCCTACAAAAACAATACTATAAGCATCCTACAGACACCGTACGATTCGGATCCTACAGAAACCCTGCAAAGATCCTACAAGATCCGCATAGGGATCCTAGCAGGTGCAATAGGATCCCCACAGGGATCCTACCAGCTGCAATGATATCCCTACACGGATCCTACCAGCTGTAATAGGATCTCTGCAAGGGGTCCTACCAGCTGCAATAAGGTCCTTATAGGGATCCTACCAGCTCCAATAGGAACCCACAGGGGTCCGACCAGCTGTCTCAGGATCCCTACATGGATCCTACCAGCTGCAATAAGATCATTATAGGGATCCTATCAGCTGCAGTAGGATCCCTACAGGGATCCTACCACCTGGCATAGGATCCCTATCGGGATCCTACCAGGTGCACCGGGATCCTTATAGGGATCCTCCCAGCTGCAATGAGATCCATCTGTGGATCCTACAGGGACACTACGGGGATCCGGGAGAAAACCTAGAATGACCCTGCAGGATCCTCATGGGGATCCTACACTCTGCACTCGGGTCCCTACAGGTGTCCTATCCAATGCAGTAGGAACCCTACATGGATCGTACCAGCTGTCACCAGATTCCTATGGGGATCCCACCAGCTGCAATAAGATCATTAAAGGGATCCTCCCAATTACAAAAAGATCCCTACAGGGATCCGACCAAGTTTCATAGAATCCCTATCGGGATCCTCTGACAGCTGCAATAAGATCCTTATAACGATCTTACCAGCTGCAAGAGGATCCCTGCAGGCATCATACCAGCTGTCATAGAATCCCTATGGGGAGCCTACCAAGTGCACTGGGATCCTTCTAGAGATCCTCCGAACTGCAATAGGATCCCTACAGTGATCCGACCAGCTGTAAACGGATCCCTGTAGAGATCCTACTAGCTGCAATAGGATCCCTCTAGGGATCCTACCAGCTGCAGAGCAATAGGATCCCTACGGGGATCCTACCAGCTGTAATCGAATCCTTTAAGGAATGGACTAGCTGCAATAAGATCCATTTGGGAAGCCAGCCATCTGCAATCGGATGCCGACAGTGCTCGATGCCAGCTGGTGGGATCCCCGTAGGGATCGAATTGCAGCTGGTAGGATCCCTAGACGGATCCTTCTGCAGCTGGTGGGATCCCGAGAGGGATCCGTTTGCAGCTGGAGGGATCCCTGTGGGATCCGATTACAGTTGGTCGGATCCCTGCAGGGATCTTGTTGCAGCTCGGAGGATCCCTCTAAGGATCCCAATGCACCTGGTAGGCTCCCTATAAGGATCATGTGACAGCTGGCACGATCCTCGTAGGGATCCAATTGCAGCGGGTAGGATCCGTATGGGGATGCTATTGCATATGGTGGGATCCCCATCGGAATCCTATGACAGCTGCAATGAGACCCTTGTAGGGCTCCTACCAGCTGCAAGAGGATCCCTGCAGGGATCATACCAGCTGTCATAGAATCCCAACGGCGATCCTCCCAGGTGCACTGGGATCCTTATGAGGATCCTCCCAGCAATAGGATCCCTATAAGGATCATACAGGATCCTGATGGGGATCCGACAGCAACCTTATACGCATTCGACAGAAAACCCTCAAGGATCATACAAGATCCTTATGGGGATCCTACCAGCTGCAATCGGATCCCTACCAGGATCCTACCAGCTGCAATAGGATGCCTACATGGGTCCTACCAGCTGTCATAAGATCCCTATAGGGATCTCACCAGCTGCAATAAGACCCTTACCAGCTGTCATAAGATCCCTATAAAGATCCTACTACAGGCCACGAAACGTGTGAGGGGTGCTCCGAAATTGGCCCGAAGCCTTCGGTGGAGCATCCTGCGGGGCCACGAAACGTGTGAGGGGTGCTCCGAGATGGGCCCGGAGCCTTAGGGGGAGCCTTAGGGGGAGCCTCCTGCGGGGCCACGGAACGTGCGAGGGGTGCTCCGAAATTGGCTCGAAGCCTTCGGGGGAGCCTGCTGCGGGGCCACGGGACGTGTGAGGGGTGCTCTGAGATGGGCTCAAAGCCTTAGGGGGGCCTCATGCAGGGCCACGAAACGTGTGAGAGGTGCTCCGAAATTTGCCCGAAGCCTTGCAGGTTTGGAGCGGTTCCTACGAGGATACTTGCAGCTCTGGTACGATCCCTATAAGAACCGATGCAGCCCTGGTGCGATGCCTGTAGCGATCCTACCTCAGCTGTGGCAGGACCCCCAATGAGGGTCCAAACGGCTGAAGTTGGATCCCTACAGGGCGTCCCTTTGGTTGTCTGGGGGCCCTTTGGGTGTCCGGGGGCGTGGGGGTACGGGGACGTAGGGGTGTGGGAGGGGGCGCCGAGGCCCCATGGTAGGAATCCATCATCCCTCAATGAATTGCGAGGAAATCTCGAACAGGAACCGTCCGCGTTGTTGTTGCTGCTGATGCTGTTGTTGCTGTTGTTGTTGCTGTTGCCGTTGCCGTTGCTGTTGCTGTTGCTGTTGCTGTTGTTGCTGTTGCTGTTGCTGTTGCTGTTGCTGTTGCTGTTGCTGTTGCTGTTGTTGTTGTTGTGTGGGTGGGGGGGGCGGCGCCGGGGTCCGGCGCCCGCTCCGACTCAACAACAACAACAACAGCAGCAACAGCAACAACAACACCACCACCACCACCAACACCAACAACAACAACAACAACAACCACAACAACAACAACAACAACAACAACAACAACACCAACACCAACACCAACAACAACAACAACACCAACAACATCAACACCACCACCACCACCAACAACAACAACACCAACACCACCAACAACAACAACAACAGCAACATCATCAACAACAACAACACCAACAACACCAACAACAACAACAGCAACACCAGCAACATCAGCAACAACAACAACGACAACAACACCAACAACAACAACAACATCAACATCAACAACACCAACACAAACACAAACACAAACAACAACAACAACAACAACAACAACAACAACAACAACAACAACAACCACAACGACAACAACAACAACAACAACAACAACGACAACGACAACGACAACGACAACGACAACGACAACGACGACAACAACAACAACAACATCAACACCAACACCAACAACAACAACACCAATCATTTTAAGACTGTTCGCCCTTATATGCTCGAGTGTAAAAAAAACGCGTATTTCCCAAACACTCGATACCCGCCCTCTCCGTCTTCGATCGAACCCCTTTTGGGGGGTATACCTTTCTTCCCTGCAGGCCGGGCCCCGGCAAGCGGCGGGGCGGCCGCGGACCGTCGGCCTGGCCAGCGGCAGCGTTGATCGGCGGGGCGGCCGCGGACCGTCGACCCGACCCCAAGAGGGACGGACAGGGGACCGACGACGACGACGACGACGACGTCGAAGACGACGGCGACGGCGGCGACGACGAGCGAAAGCGAGAGCGAGAGAGAACGACAGCAGGGCCACGAAGGGCACGAAGTAGGCCACGAAGGGCGACAGCGGGGACACGAAGGGAATGCGTATGAGGCCACGAAGAGTGCGAACGAGCGGAGGCCACGAAGTGCAGATAATGCGGGGCCACAGAAGGCAACTATGGGGCTACTGAGGGTAGCAACTGGGCCACGTAGGACAATGAGGGGGACACGACGGGCGACAGCGGGGCCGCAAAGGGCATGCACATGAGACCACAACGGGCGCGACTCCTGGGTGCCTGAGTGTCGGGAGCGCGGCGCTTGGGCAAATTGCAGGGAATTCCAACGCAAGGCTGTTCCTCAGTAAGTTGCAAGCAAGTCTCCAGCGAGAGCGCCACGCCAGAGCTCTGGGAGAGCGATTCCTGAATAAAGTGTAAGGAAATCCCAAGCGAGAGCGCGATTCCTAAATAAAATGCGAGAAGTCTCGGGCGGAAGCGGGGGTTCTGCCTAAATTGTAAGGAAACCTCAGGCGGGAACCGTTGTTGTTGTAACCCGGGGGCCAGGGGGCCAGTTTGAGCAGGAAGACTTTCCCTGTCAAAAAACAGGGTGCAAGCGTCGAGGGGCACACTTTGATTGAGAAAAAGCAGTATGCACCGGTGGGGGGGGATCAACAATAATTATTCTTCATAAATGAAAATTCAACAACGCACCGAGCATAATCCTCACCACGGATTCTCACTTCAGCCACGCTCCCAAGGACAACGAATGACCGTTCGGCCCCCTCACTCCGACACTGACACCGTCAAAGACAGCCCGAGGGTCCCCGCGATCGACGGCCCAAGAGAGCCCCACGAGTAGAGTGCCCTAACAAGGGCCCCGGAATGGGGTCCACGATGGCCCCAAGAGCCTCCCCGACGTCCAGGAGGCGCGCCGAAGCGGCCCCCAAGGGGCCCCAAAGGGGCCCCCAAGAAGCCCCAAGCAGGTCCCCAAGGACGCCCAAAGGGCCCCCCAGATGCCCCCAAGAGCCCCCCAAGAGGCCCCTAAGAGGCATCCCACAAGCACCTCAATTGCATCCAAGGGGCTCCTGACCCACCAGATAACTCCCAAGATCGTCACAAACACTCGCTCCTTCTGGGGAGTCGGCGGAATGGCGTTAAACCGCTTGAATAGGCAGCGCGCCCTGGGAATGGGCCGGGCGGCCAGGGGGCCCACGCATCGAGAGAATCGGGGCGGCTGTCGGGGAAGAAACGTCCACTGTTTGGGGTCCGCGCGCTGGCATGATTTCTGCGTGCGAGAACGCGCGTGCCTCCGTCTGTCGAGGCACGTCTGGCACTCAACACCAGCCACCCAGCACTCAACTCAATCTATCTTGATCGAAGCGTAAATGCCGCGTACAAAAGCAAATGACGCGAGGGCGCCAACGGATCCAGTCATCAGGGAGAACAATACAGAAACGATTCCCATGTAACCGAAATAAAGCACTGTCGGCACGAACCTATCGATCAGAAGCCTGTTGCTGAAATACAAAACAGAATATGCAAACACGTAGACCCCAGACGAAGCACTCGTTAGGAATGACCGCCACCACCAGCGGTGATCCTCCGCGGTGAGCTGGAAGTACGTCAGCATGATGGAAATCTCGGCGCATGTCACACACAGAATGACAAGCACGAGAGCCAGGAACCCAAACAAGTAATAAAACTGGTGCTGCCACAGCGAGGACATGATGAAGAACAACTCGGTGAAGACGGCACCGAAGGGCATGGCGCCACCGACGAGGCACGTGAATGCTGGCCGCATGAGTCGGGCCAGGCGAAAGGGGGGGATTGCAAAGGGGAAGTTTGAGAAACAGCTCACGCAGCTGCCTTTCCCAGCGCCTCCCGGCGCCGGGAGGCGCCCATGTATCGAGGAATGGGCCCGGCGGTGGGGCCGAAACCAGCTGCATGTAGCAGATTTCGTAACCCCCCCTTTCCCTATCCCCCCCTTTCGTTCGGCCCGCATGAGGAGTGACTGCTCGGGGATTTGCCTGGCGATTGCGCTAGTGCGGACTGGCAGCTCGATGGTCGCCCTGCGCATCGCCACCCAGGATCCAAGGAAGACCAGGGGCACCGACACGCAGAACCAGAGGGCCAGCAGCAAGAACATCGTCGTGAAGGGCACTGCGCCGGAAGACTTCTGCCCCCAGATGAGCAAGTTCAGCGCGAAGAAGACGGCGAAGACGGCGCCGGGCCAGAGGAAGGCGGTCAGGAGCGTGGTCTGCCTCCACGCTTCCCCGTTGAGAACCTTGTAGAGCCTCGCCTGGATATATTTCTCGTTTTGCCAGTCTGCAGCAGTCTGGAGCTGTTCGCTCTCCACTGCGCGCGTTTCACTCCACATGTACGCCCCAGGCCCTCGACTCCGGCCCTCTTCGTCTCTGAGCGTCTCCCTTCTTGGGTCGCTGATGTTTGTTCATCCCAGCTCCTTGGTAAACGCCAACAGGGATGGGCGGGCGGCGGGCCTTCGGAAATTGCAACATCCTAAAGAAGTCGGGCGGAACCCCGGACCCCATCTGCCTACAGCAGACTTCGAGTCTGACGAATCTATTGCTGCCGCCCCATTTCGGCACACCCCTCACACGATTCGGGGCCCGATACGGAGCGCCACCGAAAGCCCCGGTGGCAGGCTCTACGTGGCGGCCCCGCCACATTTCCGCACACGCTCGCACGTTTCGTGGCACCACGGCAATCTGCACCGCAGGCCCCAGGGGCCGGGTCCGCATGGCGGCCCGCCGCATTTCGACACACCACTCACACGTTTCGTGGCACCATGGGGGGCTCCATCGAAGGCCACAGCGACAGGGTCTGCATGGCGGCCCTGCACCAACACCGATCACACGCTTCGTGGCCCCAAGAGGGGACTCCACCTCCTTCATCCTGCCTGCCATGCAGCACTCGCACCCGCATATGGCTGGGTGCTTCACCGGTATAATGTTATATAGCCTTCCCGCCTGTTCGCTTCCGATGCTCTCTTGAGGCCTCAAGATGGCTCCAAGCTGGTCTGATACGACCCCAAGAGGGGCCCAGGATGGCCCTAAGTCGGCAAGAAGAACGCCTAAGAACCCCCCAAGAGTTTTTTTGTTATCCGCAAAGCAGCGGCACTCGCCTGCGACGAGCGATGGTGACCCTTCAGTGCAGCAAGCAAGCCTGGGGCCACGCAAGGAATAGCCTGCAATAGGTGAGCCCGTGCGCGAACCCTTGGCTTGCGCAGCAAAACGGAGTAAGCCTAAAATGGGGACGAGGCCGAGGAAGGAGGAGGAGGAAGAGGCGGAGGAGGAGGAAGCTCGCGGGGTAGATGGGGCAACGTGGTCGCAACGAGCGGCTCTCACGCGCGCGTCGGCTGCCTAACACACTGGCCCATGCCAGAAATAGAGAAGACCGGCCGCATAGGGGGGTGGGGGAAGAGCGGGAGAGGGCAAGAGAGAACGGAGGAGGGCGGGGGGAGGAGACACGAGGCCGCCAGACTGAGGTACAAAATCATGACCCCGAAGGTGAACAATGGCTCCTGACTCGCAAGGGGAGAAGAGACGCATCGCTTCGACAGCAAGAGCGCATGTGCAAGCTATAATGCCTACCATTCTGGCAGCGTGGCTGAGAGTGAAGCCGCCAGGAAAGTAACGAATTCCCCCACCCACCCTGCGCCGACCGCAGGCCAGAGGATTCATCCATCGAAAGTGGGTTGCGAGCTAGGCGGTTGCGGCTGGCCGCAGACCAGAGGAAACAAGAGGCGGAAACGGAGCAGAGAAGGAGGATGGGGAGGAGCGGGAGCACGACTACACTAGGTACGAAAATGTCCCAACTCGTATCGCGGCGGAGCGGGTGTGATGACCCAATGCTTATCACGAACCATTCCAAGGAATAAGCGGCTGGCGCGCCAGACAACGACCTTGAGGAAGGGTGGGCACCAGAATTCACGCGAGGGAAAGCATGTGGCCGCTGGTTGGCCTGACGGGGCCTCTTGCAAGCAATTCGTGCGAGATGCGGGGCGCGAGCGTGGGCATAGACCACCTCGCGGACGAAGCCGCGGAATGCATCGGCTGCACCTGCGGGGCGGAGACCGTGTCTGACAGCGCCAGGTGTTCTCTGTGGAGCGACAGCGGCGGTCGTCGCCCGGAGTGCCGCCGCCGTGGCCTTCTGGAGCGGCCGTCCAGGCAAAGGCGCTGGGAGAGAACGCCCCTGCGGGCTGACGCCAAAGAACTCGCCTGGGCACGCTTTCGCCGCCAGTGGTGGGCTCATGCCGAGACGCTGCGGGCAACTGGTGTGAACGGTGCCGCAGAGGGCGCCGTGCTGGAGGCGCCCCCCCCCCTCGCGGGCACCCGAAGAGGCACCCGCCAGCCCTGCCAGTGCGCCAAGACGGCCCCAAGGGAGAGGCCAATGTTCGAGCCCGGGCGGAGATACCCGAGCCTGCGCCGCCCTCTGGTCTGCTTTGCTGCCTCGAAGACGTCCCCAGGAGGGCCCCCAAGGCCTTGAGAGCTCTTCTCAGATCGGTGTGAGGAATTGTGGGTGCATCCAGGCATCTGCAGACACGCCTGGATGCACTGTGGAGGATTCGGCGCGAGACGATGGACAGCAGCAGAACGCTTGAAGCCCCCAAGTTGGCCCCGAGAGGGCCCCACGATGGCACCAAGAGGCCTCCAAGACGCTCCAAGAGCGAACGATCGCTCAAATTTTGATATCTATTCCCGTCGTCGGCGTCGGCGGCGGTCCCAAGCACGCACGCCGTAATGCAAGCACCGCAGGCAAAGACAAACAACCGCTCAACAAAGACAACCACGAGGAGCCGCGAAACGCACTCGACGACGCGGACGCCACTCATCAAACGCACAAAAAGCCTGTGGCTGATTTGGCTCAGTGGTTGCCTGTCGTAGCTCCCTGAATGGATCCCCCTTATAGTCGTAGTCCATTCGTCGTAGGCGTAGCCGTAGTCCTAGTGGTCCACGTCGTCACCTTCGTCGTCTTGCCACACATCCCTGATCAGGATAACTCGTCTGGCGTATGTTTTTGGATGGGCTGGTGGCGATTCACGAAGCGTCCATGAATTGAAGAAAAATCCACGATGAACGAGCGAGCCCCGAATCGGCGAGCGCGCGACACTCGAGTAAACTGCGTCGAGGGCCCGATTCTTCAGTACATTGCAAAAAAACTCGAGCGAGCGATAACGCGATTCATGTGTACATGCTGAAGGCGTTTCAAGCGACGAGCACTGTACTCTGATGGATCGGATCACCGACACAATTCGAGCACAAACCCTTCCCCGGACAACAAACCATCTGCGAATGCGAAGGGCCAAACTTCGATTGTCAAAAACCAGTGCTGGCCTGCGATTTCTTATCATTAATCGTCGTTCTTCAGGCATGGAACCCCAACAGCAACCAAGACAAAGAGAGAGAGAGAGAAAGGACACAGGAAACAAACAGAGGCACACCAACAAACTCGCCTGCACGTACCCCGCAGATACGCCCATGAGGGTGAAAACCAACATCATCGACTGCAAAAGGCTCCCGCGGTGTGCCGGCGAGAGCAGCCCCATCAGGGAGAATGCGAGGGTCACCTGGCAGAGGGGGACGGGAAGAGCGGGAACGGTGGGGACCCATAATTGCATCTGACGTGGTGCTTCGGTCCCAAAGAGAGGCCTCCCACATTGGGTAGGTGGGGTCGGAGGACCGCGCTGCATCGCCGATGCATCAGCGACGTCGATGATGCATCTGCGTCTCCGGCGTGGGGCGTGGAGAACATTGGGCTCCACATAGATTCGCATCGCCGATGCATCGGCGATGCGGCGAAATCCTCCGACCCCCACTACCCTGAGCCCATCGGGGAGGCCTGGCGCAACTGAATCAACTCCCTGCAGGCCTTCACCTACTCCCAGGGACCGGCCTGTCATCCTGAGTCGTCTGATGACAGCCTCAGGGCCGTGTGAGGGCCTCCCTGGGGCAAACAACAACTGGCCAGGCGAAGGAGCAAACTATATGCAGTGCAGTTGTGGGTAACGCAGTTGTGAGCATTGTCTTCGGTGAAGCTCCCTATGGGGCCACGACGCGTGCGAGGGGTGTGTCGAAATGGGTGGGGCGACGCATGCGAACACCGCCACTGGGCGCCTTGGTCGCAGCTCCCTATGTGGCCACGTGGCGCGCGAGGGGCGTGCCGAAATAAGTGGGGGGACGCATGCGAACACTGCCACAGGGGCCTTCGGTGGAACTCCCTCTGGGGCCCCCGGATGCGCGAAGGGTGTGCCGAAATTGGCAGGGGGGAGCGCGTGCGAACAGCGCCTGTGGGGCCTTCGGTGGAGCTCCCCATGGGGCCACGAGACGTGTGATGGGTCTGCCGAACCGGGTGCGGGGGACACGTGCGAGCACTGCCACTGGGGCCTTCTGTGGAGCCCCCTATGAGGGTCGGCGCGAGGACGGCGACCGTCCTGCACCCTCCTGCAGCTGTTGCTGAACACGCTGCTCGGGATCACCAGGTCGGCCGCATCCGCGGCCGACGCCAATGTAGGCACTACGCGGCACCATGCGTCGTCTTCTGATGACTTGTTGCGAATATCCTGTCGCCATCAAGAGGTCTTACAAAGCGGCATCATAAGTGTGCCATCTCGACTCGACGGTAGGAATAGGGTTTTGCACCACCGCCCGCTCCCGCTGCAAAGCTCTTTGGAGTGGCCATCGGCAAGGACCGTAGAGGTCGACGGGTCGCGGCGGTCGCCCCTAGGATCACCCCTACGGCACCACCGTGTATTGAGGCAACTACCCAGTGACGAGTGGAGACATGATCAAGGTCCTCTCTCTGCGTGGTTGCTGGACGGGCTCCGCGGGTGCCGACCACTGCGGCGCTTGGGCCATTGCGGAATTTCTGTCGATTGTCGCTTTGGGGGGGGGGGGGACAGCGGGGGCGTTGGGGTACCGCGTTTCCCACCCAGCGCCGCTGGGGCTGCTGCGATCTTTTAGTCAACGATGCCGCTTGATGCGGTAAACTTACACGCGGCACCGCATATGTATGCACCTGGCGAGCAGCCAACTTACTTCGTGGGACCACTCCAGAGCCAGGGTGCTCCACCAACCAGCGTGGGCGCGGGAACGCATGCGAGTACTGCCGCGGGGGGGCCCTCGGTGGAGCTCCCTGTGGTGGAGCTCCCGATGGGGCAACTGAATGCGTGAGGGGTCTTCGGAAGTGGGCTCGGGGGACGCATGCGGGCCCTGCCACTGGGGCCTTCGAGTCACGAAACGTGCGAAGGGTGTGCCGAAATGGGCGCGGGGGGCGCCACGCGGACGCTGCCGCTGGGGCCTTCGGTGGAGCTCCCTGTGGGGCCACGAAACATGTGGGGGGGGAGCCGAGTCGGGTGCGGGTGCGCCATACGGACGCTGCCGCTTGGGCCGTCGGTGAAGCCAATCGGTTGCGGATACGCCATGCGGACGCTGCCGCTGGGACCTTCGGTGGAGCTCCCTATGCCCTACGGATCAACGAGCAGAGTGAGGGGTCTGCCAGATTGGGTGCGGGTACGCCATGCGGACACTGCCGCTGGGGCCTTCGGTGGAGCTCCCTGTGGGGCCACGACACGTGTGAGGGGTCAGCCGACTTGGGTGCGAGTACGCCATGCGGACGCTGCCGCTGGGGGCCACGAAAAGGATGATGGGTCAGCCGCCTTGGGTACGGGTATGCCATGCGGACGCTGCCGCTGGGGCCTTCGGTGCTCCCTATGGAGCCACGCAGCGTGTGAGGGATGTGCCGAATCGTGTGCAGGTACGCCATGCGGACGCTGCCGCTGGGGCCTTCTGTGGGCCACGAAACGTGTGAGGGGCATGCCGAAGTGGCTGACATGCCGAGGGCAAAAGCAAGGACGGGAGGAGGAGCGGACGACGCTTGGCACAGGACGGACGGTTTTCCTTCTGCGGGGCCCTCGCCGTGCGTGAGGCTGCAGCCCCTGCCCCTGACCTCCTCGCGCCTGAATACCTCACGACGGGATGACTCGCGTGGACGCTGACGGGGGCAGTAAGCGGGGGGCAATCGAGAGCTGCAGGAACGTGGCCTGGTCCAGAGCTGCCGCTGCGGCCAGAGATGGTGCTGGAAAGACACGCCGTTCTTCGCTCCCCGTTTACTCGGGAGCGCGCAAACATGGATTTGGCGCGCGGTCGCCAAATCCATGGATCGGGGGAGGTGCCCTCCCCAAAATGCGGCCGTTGCCGCCTCGTTCGGCGGCGGACATCCGCGATATCCCATGGAAACGGGACCCGTCGCTAATCCACGCCCCCCTTGATCCATGTTTGCGATCGCCTGAGTTTACGTCCCCCCGCTGCCGAACGCCTGACAGTTGTAGCCCATGTGCGGCCTCCCAGGGCAGTCACCGGGCCCCGGGGCCGTCAGAAAGCAAGCCGGTCCCCGCAAGAGAATATCCCCCCAGACATCGAGCCGTGGCCTCCCAGAGGTCTGGGCCCCCAGCTGGGGGCCCGAGTCGTTGTTATTGCACGGTCCTGAAGCCCGGTAAAGGGCTCCTGGGAAGGCAGAGGGATTTCGTCACGTGATGCGAAGTCCCCCCCTCCCCTATCGAATCCCCCGCCTCTTCCTCCTCTTCAAACCTCATCCTCGTAATCCTCCTTCGATTCGCATCACGTGACGGATCGAAGTCGTCGACTGGGGGCAGAAACTCTGCAACAGCACTCCGTCGCGATCTATCATTCTCGGCGTGAGGTCTGGAGAGCCGCGCTGCGAAGATGTCGCGGCTCTCGGGGCTTCTGGGGGACGACAAGGGCGGGGAGCAGCATCATCAGCAGACAGGGTGAGCCCCAGGGGTGGTGGCGACGGAGGCGCGGGGTCAGATCAGGTCAGGTGGACGTAATCACGCCTAGTGGGGCGTCGGCAGGCGCAGTAGTGAGTCTACATTGCAGAGAAGAAGCGCACGCGAATGGGAGAGAGGGACGCACGACGAGCGAGGAAGCGAGGTGGGGCGGAGCGAGGGAGGGCAGGACGAACGACGAGGGGAGCGACCCAGAAAACGTGAGAAGGGACACTCGGGTGGCTGCCTCCAGCGCGGCGAATGGGGCAACCAAAAGGTACCGATGCCGCTGCTCCCCCGACCTCTCCCGGAGCGCAGTCTGACCAGGACTTCGAGGCGAATCCAGCGGCGGCGACGAGGGCCTCCCTGGAGGTCCAAAAAGGGTGGAAACGAGGGAAGGGTATCGGTATGGGTACCTGTTCCTCCTCTGAGCTTAGAGGGCGGAGGAGAACATGCCCAAGTTATCCGATCCTGAAAAGCGCCACGGGCGATCGGTCTGAGCTGGTCACGCCAAGACGGCGCGCAAGCGGTTCCCAGCGAAGCACCATGCGCGCCGGCCTCCCACGTTCGATTGCCTCTTTTTGTTGTTGCGTGGAAACCGCAACGGCAGTGAGACTGGAACCCAATGTGAACCGAGCGCGGCCCGCGCGATAATGAAAGTTACGGTTGAACCTAAGACATAATAGCATCCTTCTAGAGCAGGAGACCCTTCGCCGGCCAAGCATAGTAACATTCGATGGTACCCTGCCCCAGGATGCACAAAAACATCCAACACATATGAAGAACATCAGGGTACCCTCCCCGAACCGACCTCCATCTTCTACCTCGGTCCGACTGTTGCGTGGAAACCAAGAGCGGTGAGCGTGGAAACCAGTGACAACCAAGCGCGGCCTTCGCGAGAATCAAATTGGAGGCCTGGAAATGGACACCAACACCAAGACGGGGGGGGCTGCCTCCACAGGGGGGAGATGGTCCTCGATTTCGGTGTTGGTGGTAATATTTCGGCCGCCTTGGAAGCCAGAATATTATCACCATCACCGAGATCGGGATCGTTCTTCCCTCGGTGGAGGAACATCGCCGATATTGGTGTTGGTGTCAACCTCTAGGCCTCCGATCAAAAGATAGAGTCAGCGTGCTGCCATCAGGAACGCCGCATAAGGAACGAAGGGGGCTCTGTTGGCCACGGCGGGCCTCGGCCACAAGCAGGCTCCCCAGCCCAGATCTCTGGAACGGCCCGAGAGTCCAGGCCCTCCCCGAGCCCGAAGTGGTCCTTCGTGTCAGTGTTGTGACTGCATGCTGCACTGGCGGTGCGCACGAGGGGGTGGTGGGAGGGGGGAGGGCCTGTTAAAAAGAGGCTGCTTCTCAGAAGGCGCCAGCCTTACATCTATAGAGACGGCCCGCGCCTTCTAAGAAGCAGGGGTGCTTCTAAGAAGCCCGAACTGCAAGGCCCCCACGGGCTAGCCACAGTTCGCGTGGCCTAACCCTCGGAGAACACCTCGCACAACAAGTGCTCTTGCCCCACAAGCCAAGCACGCCGGCTCGGAAAGCCAAGCTTACCCATCTGGTTCGAAAGCCAAGAGCATGCAATGCGGAGCCAAGTGCACACCAAAACAACTCTAGTGTGTTGTGTCGCGAACGTTCTAAAACGAATCGCTACCACTTTCTGGATCGTCACTCCTGCATCATTGCTTCATTCTCAGATGCTTCGGGATAAGATCCAGGAGGAAAAGGCGGATGAAAGAGGGAGAGGGGATGATGAAGGAAGACAGAGGAAGGGAGGAACGACGAAGAAGGGGTAGCCACGTGGAGAATGGCGGGGGCGAAGGAGATGATGATAATGATGAGAAGGAGGTGAAGGTGAAGGCGAAGGTGGGGAGGCAGAGAATGACTAAGATGGCCCAGAGGTGGATGAGGAACCCACGAGCAAGAGCGGGGCCAGGAGGGCGAAGACTCGGAGGAGGAATGAATCGAGGATGTTCTGACCCGGGTCAATCCAGACCCGGGTCAGTCAGGCCTTGCAGAATCCTGCAAGGTCCTGCGCCCAAACCCGAGTCAATGCCAAAGATCCCGCAAGATCCTGTAGGATCCTGCACCCAAACCCGGGTCAATGCGACCCTGTGCCTACAGGATCCTGCAAGATCGGCCGCTCTGGATGACCCACGTTTGCATGGGTCCACGTCTCAAGGTTCCCGAATGAGCTCAAGGTTGGGAATTGCGGGTATCCGGCGGGCGCAGACATCGTGGGCGCCGCGCGATTGGGGGGTGTGGATGCCGAGGTTTGGACTGGTGCCCGCCCATGGGCGCCTCCTGGGCGCCCCGCCTGCGCTGGGGGGGTAGGCTTGGGTCGGGCATGTCCTCCTACAGGCGGATTTTGGAGAAATGAAAAATAAACCAAAAATGCTCAAACATAGTCAAACAAAATATAGAAAAATTATCCCCAGACTACTTTTTCACTATTCTTGGATATTCCTCCTGCAGAGGGTCACGCCCGACTTGGGGTAGGCCGACGTTTCGCCTGGTGCCCGTCCGCAGACGCCTCGCGGGCGCCCCGCGCTGGGAGAATGTCGCCGAACTGTCGCCGGTTGCTCGCCCGTGGGCGCGCCCAGCGCTGGGGGGGGGGGGGCAAGCGAGGTTTCTCTGGTGCCCGCCCCCTGGGCGCCTCGTGGACGCCCGGACAGCCTGCTTCACGCCAACTCTCCACTTTCCCAAATACTGGGCTGGCCTGAAAGGGTCTCACTTGGTGAAAGGCTGGTGTCTCGGGACGCTACTTTTCCCGTTCCTCGGGGACGCCTCGGAGATTCCTCGGGTCATGGGTTCCCCGGGTTCCGCGGGCTCGCATTCCTCGGGTTCTGGATTCCTCGGGTTCTCTAGGTGCCAAGCAATGCCAAGCAATGCACCAAACGATGCGCCCATTAAAGAGGCTTCCCCTAATTGGGGTCGCGCTGGGTTCATCACAACAAGAAAAGACTCCACCCCCTCCCCGCGCCGAGGGTCAACAGTTCCGCTTTTCGTGGTGCAAATCGCATACGGTTCTGCCTGATCGCTCATTTTGTATATGAAGCCAGGGCATCCCAGCCCAACCGACATCAACCCCCCATCACCCCTGTCAAGTAATTCCAGGCGCGCGCAGTCGCTGATCAGTGGCACAACAAATCCACAATGTGCGCACATGCGCACACATGCCGAAACCACATCTGCACACCATACAGTGTGCAAGCATTTCAGCACAAACGCATTAAAGCATCCACTGGGCCTTTCTCATCATGTCTTGCATGGGTTCTGAAATCATTGGAAAACTGTTCGGTCTCTTTCAGACCCCGCACTGCCACCTCAACACACGGTGCATTTTCATTAATGTGTCACGCGCCTGGTGCACGATTCTGCATCAAATAAAACATCGGGGGGACACATGCACGCGCTGCCAGCCGCGTGTGACAAATCCTGCAACATTGGTCTTCGAACCACGGCAAGATACAATTCTTCAAGAACACCTGCAAATCCACGTGTCTTTCAAGAGACCATCCGACAGGTGTCTTGGACTCCTGCGCGCGCACACTACCTCACCATCACCCTCGTGAAGGCAAGGCCATCGCATCACCGCCAGAATCGACATCTCCAATCACCGCCACTGCCGCCAACATCAGCACGATGTTTGCGCGAGCCGTGGAGTCGACAACGCACTGTTGACTTGGTGAGTTGCACAAGGTAGCCTGCAGAACATAAAGTGCACCACGTAGCTGCCACCGCAAAACTTACTTATGTAGCTTGAACCACGCAGATTCGACTCTATCCCCTCTTCCCCTGACTTATCGCCCCCCCTGGAACACTGCAAACTACGTGCGACTTCGCCTCATCGTCCATTATCCATGTGAACTCCTACCTTTCGAGGTAACTGGAAATTCCATATAAAAAACATCACCCCTTGATTTGTTCCCATCACGGACAGGTGCAGATGTCCTGCCCGCGCGCACGTGCTGAAATCAAACAAAAACAGATTCGGAGATTGACGAACCAACAACACACACCCATACCCATAGGGGGGTCGGAAAGGGCTATGGGTGCGTGTTGTCGGAAGGGGGTCCCCGCTCGAACGGGAGCGTTCCCTGGGGCCCGACAACCCGCACCCATACCCATAGCCAGTCCTCCTCCCAACGACCCCCTTATGGGTATGGGTGCGTGTTGTTCGTTCGTCAGAGATTGCTGCCCCGAGCCACGATCGACATCAGGAGGATCTGGAAGCCGGAGCCCACGGAGGCCACGAAGAGCTTCGAGCGGTCCGGCTGGCGGAAGACATCCGCGTGGACCAGCTTCCAGCCCGACTCCTCCGCGGCCTGCTCCGCACTCACCTTACCCCAGATTTCGTAATAGAAGGGAGGGGGTCTCGACCCTCCAAGACAAGCCATTTCAGACCTCCCCCGTGGGAGAACCCTCCAAAACATCGTCCCCAGACCCCCCCCAGGCCCTCCAAGATAGCCTGGAAGAGACCCCCCCCCGAAATGAGACCCCCCTCCCTTTATTACGAAATCTGGAGGATGCATTGTTTAACCGATCCCTATCTCCATTGGCTCGGCCTAAGCCACACTGGCGATTTACCCTCATGAATGGGGTTGTACGCCGTTCTCTGTGGGGTTCGAGAGGCCGATCCCAAACTGGGGTGGTGGGATGGGGGGCTGAGATACCATGGCCCGGTGGGGATGGGGATACTCAGTTTAGATGATACTGAACCTTCTCGTTGTACTTTGCGATGTCTCGGCACAGCGTTCGCAGCAAGATCATGGCCACGAGGCCGGTGAGAAAAAACACCACCACCAGCGAATTCAACAGCGAAAACCAATGAATCTTGCCGGCCGTCATCTTCAGATAAGTGTCCCAGCGCGATGCCCACCGTGTGTCACTCCAGGTCCAAAGAACGTCGTACGTGTAGACGATGCTGCGGTCCCCGTCGAGGTCGAACTTGGGCACGCCAGAGCAGCTCGCCTTCTGCGCCTCGCCCTGCCCCTCGACGGACTGCTTCAGGCTGCTGGGCTGCACCTCGAAGCCCACCACGCGATACCCCTCGTAGAGATCTGGATGCGAGTGGAACTGGAGGCTCAACAGCACGTGGTTGTGGACGTAGTAGGTCCCGTTCTGCGCCGTCCCGACCGGGAAGCCGTTCATGAAAGTGTAGCCCGTCCCTCTCGGATCGGCGTACCGGGTCGCGGCGGGCAGGCTGTCCACCAGCCAATTGACGAGGTACTCGTCGTCTATCATGGTGCGGAACGTGCGCCTGTCCTCGTCGCGCAGCTCCCGTCGGCACAGCACCTTGCACGATTCGTTCTCCTAGAAGAGGTCAGAGCTGCACAGCCATACGCTGTCGGAGGTCTGTGCGGACTCCTTGGGTTAGGTAGGGCGTGTCCTCCTACAGCCGGATTCTGGACGGGACATAAGAAGTAGTAACGAACATATTAGAAAAATGCCCCAAAATAAGCATAACATCATCCCCAGACTATCTTTTGACTATTTTGAAACATTCCTCCTTCTACAGGGACACGCCGGACTTAATCCTTGGGTCGGCACCAAGCCCCCCCCAGCGGCGCCCCTGGCGCGTTCCGCAAGGACGGGGTCCAGGGCCGATCCGAGAAATCCGCGCGGACCGATGAAGATGTATGTTTATGCAGAGCTGCACCCAAACATACCACGTCCTGACTTTTTTCTACGCGGGCTGCCCCAAATCCGCACGCTTTCCCCGGGACAAACTGTTAATCCTGAGTAGTGTTTGACGGTCCTGGGTCCTGGCGAGGGCCGCTAGAGGCCGAAAACGGCGAAACACTTCCTGTCCTGATGTGTTATCACGACGCGAGCATGTCTGGGTAGTCTTGGATGTCCAACATCTGGATCTGGTACTTCGAATTCTCTATTATATCGCCCACCAAGATCTCGCCCAGGTTCTCGGCCTGGTGCCTGAGCTCGTCTGGTGGGCAGTGTGGCAGCGTATAGAAGCTGTAGGGCAGCTGCGTCTTGGCCGACGTCAACTTGTTCACCTTCAGCTCCACATAATTACCTTGCAGGTACTCCCTCGGGGCCACGCCCGGCAAATAGAAGGCCTGCTTGGCAAGATAATTGAAAAAGGAGAAGAGGATGACGAAGCGTAGCAACAAACACTGTACACAAAAGTATACGCGCAAACACTTTCGAACATCCGCCAGGAATTCTTAGATCAGCGCTGGACCCGCGCGGAGCGCGCCAGGGGCAGAGCTGGAGGCGCCGCGAAGAGGTCCAATGCCGATCCAAGAAAGCAGTGCAGACCTACGTAAGTTCATGGAAAGGGGAATGGGGACCTGAGGGAAAGGAGTCCTGTGGGAAAAGGGTCCTGATGGAAACATGTCTTGGATCCTAGGGCTCTCCCTGAGACCAATGACCCATCCGGGGGTCGTCTACTAACGGTCACGGGGGCCCCTGGGGTGCGAGATGGCCAGCATCTACAATCGGATCCAGGCGTGGCCGCGAGGACACCCCCAATACCTCCGAAGACCTGCTCGAAAGCTACGAGGTAGGAGGACAGCCAAACCACCGACGTCGCTGGCCCAAACCCCCGTCGGGACCGGACTCTCATGCCGAGTTGCTTGTTGACAGCCCGTGGGCCCGAAAGCAGCCCCCAGAGGCCCAAAGCTCGTGTTTCTATGTTTCGCGACACCGGCCCTGGTCACGTCACGATTCGCGCCGGCGCCGTGTGGGACATCCCAGAACATTCCCACACGTCGTCGGCTCGAATCGGACAACTCCGGACCAAACTCCAGGAGCGGAGCCTGCTCTGTGACCGGCCCCTTCCCCCCCCTCGCCCACCCCCCGCCGTGACGCCCGTTATCACCAAGGACTACAAAAACGGTTTCCAAGACAGGCGAAAGACCTTCTGTCTTGATTTGCCCAGACGTTTCCGAGTTGTGGGTCAGGGCGCGGGTCTCTGGCGGCCGCACGGGGCGATCCGAGCAACCCCAGGACGCTCTCGGCGAGGCGCGGCTGCAGGAGAGCATCCCGAGGCTGGAAAACGTCTAGGAACCGACGAAGACGTTCGAGATTCGACGGCGACGTCCAAGAACCCCCCAACGGCGTCTGAAGGAACAAAACGATACTAATGCCGGCGAGGATCTTCTGGCCCGGGTCAATCCAAACCCGGGTCAGTCAAGACTTGCAAAAACCCGCAAGATCCTGCAAAATTCTGCACCCAAACCCGGGTAAATGCGAAGGATCCTGCCAAATCCTCCAGGATCAAGCTCGGGCGCTCGGGCTGACCCGTCTCAAGGCTCCCGATGCCGCCGCCCTACGGACCTCTCCAGGGGTGCGCTGCAACCAGGACCTCGCGGCAAACCAGCCCAGGCGCCGGGCAGCGGATGGTACTGGCAATGAGACCAAGTGATACAAAAAGACGGGCAGGGACGGAGGAGGAGGAGGAGGAGGGGGAGGAGGAGGGGGAGGAGGAGGAGGAGGGGGAGGAGGAGGAATAGAATAGATAATTGTTTTTCATCTGGGTCGCTGGCTGCGACCCGGCAAGGGCCACCAAGGGCTGAAAGCGACAACAAGGACCTCCCGTCCTGATTCTCGAGCGACGCGAGCATGTCGGGGTTTCCTGAGACCCGACGTAGTAAGAAACTTGCAGTATCGCAGCAAATTGCGACCAGAACCCCAAACCAAATCTTTCTGCGCCATTTTTCGAGCCTGATCGATCTGTGAGGGTTCCGAGACCCGAAACCAAGCCAAAACTGCCAGGTGTAGTAAAACACTGGCAACGCCAAGATCTCAGGGCTTCCCCCTAGGAAGCAGGCGGTCGGCCCTCCCGGCGATATCGTTGGCACCAGAAGTGGAAGCACATAATCATTTCGGCGGCCCCCCCGACGGTATCGTTCACACATCAAGTGACAAAAGATATGTTTGCCGCTCGCCTGGGACCTGACCAAACGAGGAAAGTCGAAACTGTATGATAACACCAATGGGAAAACAATCGGAACTGCCTCAGACAGGAAACCAATTGCCTCTGGGAAACTCCAGACTTCCGGGGCCCTCCAGAACCCCTTGGGGAAGAAGTGAGAGAAAGGAACAGGAGGAGGAGACGGAGGAAGACTCTGCGGAGGATATCACTTCCGCCCCAGACCCAGTGCCAGAAACGTGGCAATTTCCTCTGATGAGGGGGGGACGGGGCTTCCTGATGTTCCCTGCAGACCCAGACCCCCGACGTCATGATTTAACGTCTAACCCCAAAAGTCTCGGCCTATTCCCCAAGACTGGCTTCCCGAGCCGTTTTTTGACGGTTCTGGGGCCCAAGGAGAACCCCCAAAGGCCAAAATATAAAAAACTCATGTCGTGTTTTTTCACGACCCGAAGGGGTCTGGGGAAACCAAAACGTACGGTTACCGCTACTCCCCGGATCTCTCCTGGGGTGCTATCTGACCAGGACTTCGAGGCGAATCCAGCAGTGGCGACAAGGGCCTCCCAGGAGACCCAACAAGGCGAAAGCGAGGCGAAGAGTGGCGATAACCTCATGAAGCCATTAAGGACGCCCCCGGGGTTATCATTAGCACCGCACCGTAATTCAATAATTCTGGGGGGCGGTTTTCGCCGAACGATATAGTTAGCACCGCGCAAATGGAACGAAAATAACAAAAACAATCCCGCGCCCCAGCTCGGGTGGTATGCCACTTGGAACTGGAATAAGGAAAGAAATAAGAGTGACATACAATAATAATAATAATATGAATGAAACTTATGATAATAATAATAATAATAACAACAATAATAGTATTAATAATAAGAATAATAAAAATGATAGTAACCTTATTACTGCTTAAACAAAAGATAAGGCAACTGGTAATACTACTACGAACAATAACAATTGGAACAACCATAATAATGAGAGTAGGGATGAAACTAATAATAGGAATAATAATCATAATCAGAATAAACATGCGAATGCTAATCAGAAAAAAAATCAATAATAATGATACCACTAATCATATTCATACTAAGAATAAGAATGCGAATCGTGATACTACTAATAATAATAACTTGTTCTCAATGTCTTCATCACCATTGTCCTATGCGATTATTATTGCCACCCCACTGAACAATTGTTGTTTCCCGGCCGTCGTGTGGGGTAGTGCATCCGAGGATATCGTCCCCGCCACGCACGGCGCGTTATCTTAGCACCGCTCCCGCGCAAAACAATTACGACAGCTGGTCCCAAAAGACAATGAGTACAATCATACGAATCATCAGAATAAAAATGCAACCGAGAATGAGACAAATAATAACTAATGCGAAAAAACGAGTAAGGATAAACATAAGAATACACATCCGAAAACAGACAGCCCCCCCTGCTTCTTTCCTCCCTCCCTCCTTTTTTTCTCATGTTATTCATCATCATTGTCCTATACGATTCTTTATTACCACCCCTATTGAAAACATGTTTTTTCCTGGCCGTCGTGTGGGGTAGGTAGTGCATCCGAGGATACCGCCCCCGCCACGCACGGCGCGTTATATTAGCACCCGCAACGCCAAAATGATCCGCCCCCCGTCGTAGGCACGGACGGTTCCTTTTCAAAGCTGGGCTCCCCCTTGCGTGGGACTTCATGTTGTTATTGTTGGTGTTGACGGTGTTGTTGGTGTTTTTGATGTTGATGTTGTTGTTGTTGTTGTTGGTGTTGCTGTTATTGGCCTTGTTCTAGATATAGTTATTATTGCTGGTATGGTTGTCGTTGTTCGTGTTGGTGCCGTGCCGT